CCCCCCCCCCCAACTACACCCACAACCTCTCCGGCGTATTTCTCCGACGTTTCCGATTCAATCCGATTTGATGCAGTAAGTATTTTATTTTTGTGTACTTTTTCCAGTTTGTTTTTCTTCTAAATTTATTTATTCAATTGGGATATTGTGCTCTAAAGGCATAATATTTGGCTTGGTGTCAATTAATATTATCACTATTATTATGATTATGATTTATTTATTCTTTTTTGGTATGTAATTGTAGATGAATTAAGATGGTAGACGGTGGAAAAAAGAATGCGAACAATCCTGACCCGAATAGGGGTATTTTGAGTAATGACAATACACAGCCAGTGGACACTCAAATTTCACCCGAGTCATTCCCAGGCAAGTTTATTTTTATTTTTTCTAATTTTTTTGGGGTAAATTAGGGTATGTTGATTATTCCTAAATGTTAATATAAGGGTTTCAATTTAAAGTTTTAATTTTCTTGCCTGTAAAGGATAAAGAAAAAAAATAATTGAATCCTTTATTAACAGAAGATATCTTCAGTGCATCAATAATCTTTGCTGCATTATAAAGTTACTTGGAGTTTGATTTTATAAGCAGATTGAAACTGCTGTGACGTGGTTGTATTGATTAGCCATGGCCAATTGTTAGTTAACTGCTAAAGAATAAAAGAGAACATATGCTCAAGTTTGGATTTTTAACCAAATAAGTGTGATACGGTGTACTCTGTTTTATCTTTTGAATGAAAAGTTTGAGATGTTACTTATTTTGTTTGTGCTTTTTAAGTTTTCGATTATCACTGATACCATTGTTCAGAGAGGGAACTCTTCAAGCAAGACTACTGCTCCCTTTGCCCCACCTTATGTGATGTGGTTACAATTCGGAGAGTCAAAAAAAAAATTTCTTTGACCTCGATGCCTTTTCAATGTTTTAAATTTTTTGTGACTTATACTACTTTTTACGTAGTTTCCAAATATGTTAATTTTATTTCAAAAAATTTGAAGATCCTATGCTCGAATTTACACCTAAAATTAGATAGTTTGACCCTTGTACTCCGAATCGCATCACATAAAGTGGGAGGGAGGGAGTACTACCTTTTTCTTTAGGATGAGAAGGGGGTTTCAGAAGATTAAGAAAATGCAAAGTTAGTGAAATATATGGGAGATACTTTTTTTCTCTCTCTAAGATTTGGAACTCTAATTCTAAATTGCTTTTTCCCCTAACGATACAATTTGGTCTATATTTATAGGGAAGGATCCTGAGTTGTACCGTAACCAAAGTATGGTTCCTGCTGATGACCGTCTTTTATTCAATGATGCCTTTGAGACCCAACTTGTAAATCTTTGTGGTGAAAACCAGTTTTTGGATTTCGGTGGTGAAACACAAGTGGTGGATTTCGGTGGTGAAACACAAGTTGTGGATTTTGGTGGTGAAACACAAGTGGTGGATTTTTGTAGTGAAACTCAACGGGTGGATTTAGGTGGTGAAACCCAAGTGGTGGAAGATCATGATGGTCTACAAAATGAACGCATCCGGACATCTGAAAAGTGCAACGTCGAAGTTGCCGTAGATAGTGAAGGAAGTGATAGAACTGAGGTCTTGTGCGATACTGAAGAGTTATCAGATGATGATTCAATGAAACACAGCCTCAGTTCTATTGATCAGGTGAAGTTTACTAAAAGCAACAATTCCAACACGGGTTATGAGAGTTCGATTTCACAATCAGATGTTCTAAGCAATGACAAGCATCAATCAGGTAAATTGGTTTCGCTATCATGAGATAATTCGTTTTAATCAAGTTCTAACGCTGTACATGTTTGGCCTAAATTTATCATTTTACCATCTCTTTTCTTCCATTTTGATTATGCAGGATCTGCATGGAACTATAACTGAGCAAAAAGTTCCCTTTCTTAATCCATTCCTTAAATTTGCAATTAATTGAAATGTTCTTCTACTAGTGAAAAATTGGACAAAACATTTTGCGCCATCCAGTTTTTAAAATTCACTGTAAATAGGCCTCCTCACTTAGCTGGATCTGTATATTCTTTGCCAGTGCGTCAACTATTATGTATTTTGATATTTAGTATGTAATTGCTGACTATGGTTCTGAACTCTATGTGTCTACAGTTGGTCATTTCTGCTGTATCCAGGAAAAGCTTTACTATTGAAAGAGAGGCTTTGTCTTCGCTTTCTCTGTTTTATATTTTAGAATCTGGATTTCTCTTCTCTTATTCAGTACATGAAAGTATTTAATATACACTTGTATGCTGGTACTTTTAGGTGGTTGATGAATTCCTTTTATGTTTTCAACTTCTATATTCTAACCATATTCGTTATCAGACAGAATGCCTTTGAAGATTTGATAACAAAGCTGCTTCTGAATTTTGGAGGTCTTATAATCATGTATTTTTTTCAGGATCTCTGCAACGAGGGTTTACTTCAATCCGTGCTGCATCTGTCAGGGCTTCTGGTTTGGCTGCTTATGACATGAGCCATAAAGGGACAAAAGGAAGTACATGGTCTATTAAAAATGACAATCTTCTGGAGCAGGAAAGTGCAGGCCAAAATGGGACATCTATGGTTGGACCTCAATCTGAAGTCAGGAAGGAGCTTAACCCGAATGCTTGTGAGGAGTATGACGAACAAATGAATGATGTAGGTAATGGAAACCGGTGCAAAGTTGGTAGTTCAGCTGTGAGGAAACTTTTCAGAGATGAGATACTTGTTGAAATTAAAGGGTCAGAAGATGGCAACAATGATGCTCAGAAGACAGTGGACTTGCCTCAATTTGCCTATGAAGATGGATTGGCAGGTTTAAGTTATGTAGATTCTCAAGAACCTGGAGAGGAGTCTCAGGCCAATGCACTAGATGTTGTTGACAAGTTTCTTAAGCTCAATCCTTTGGATTTTGATCAACATATTGACTTTGGTAAGTCATCCATTGGAAAATCGAAATTTGTCTCTGCTGCAAAAGGGACAAAAAGTTTGGCTCGGAGAGCAGCTGGAATTGCAGATGCGGAGGGTGAGATTTTTGATTGGGATGACAATTGTGAAGATGAAGGAGGTGGAGAGTTTTTCCAGAAGAAAAAGGAACTTCTTGTTGGCAGGAGTCCTGCTACTGAACCTCCGAAGCGTGGTTCACTTGATCCCTTAAGACGGGGAGTTAAAGGTAGTGGAGAAAAGGAAAAGCACCCGTTGAGCAGCAAAAAGTTGAAGGGTTCCCCCCGTTCTGATTCTAGGTTATTGTCTAGTAGAAGTAGAGTGAAAAGTGAACTATCAAAGTCCAGATATAGAAAAAACTTTGTTAAGAAGTTGGATGAACAACTGAATTCGGGCGCTGGTGATGGAATGATTGACGATGGTAATGGAGACGATGTTCCTGACATGCTAAATGTTGGTTTAGATACTCAAATAGCTGCTGAAGCTATGCAAACATTATGCTTTGGAGCTCCTGCGCTGGAAAATGATTGTAGCAATGAGAAGACATTAACGGATGGTTCTTGCGAAGATCGAATTGATGATGAGAGTCTGTCAAAGCGAAGGTCCTCCAAGAAAAAAGCACGATCTTCAAGAATGTCCATAAGCACAATGCAGAAGGATGCCAGATTAGTTGAAGAGAACTATCGAGAAAGAGTGAAACAACAGAAAACTATCGAGAAGCAAGGCAATGAAGAACAAGGGGCCGGATTAAAAATGATCAAGCCAAATATGACGAAACTCCATGCTTCAAAGGGAAGAGAAAAAGAGTTAAGACAGGAAGAAAGACCACCAAAAGCAAGCGCAGGTTCCTTGTCTGTCAAGGATTGTCACTCCACACCTGTGGCTCGTCGAACTAGGCAGCGGCAGGTAGAGAGTCAACCAAAAAGACGTCTGTCTGCCACTGCCGCTTTTGATAGAAGCGGGACAGATGCTGATGCTTGTGAGACTTTGATGGATCAAGGTACACTTGCTACCAATCAAACTGCCAACCTAAGAAATATGGAATCAACGTGGGCCAGCCTTTCTGCTGTAGACTATCCCAAGGGAAGAAGAAGTCACCGGAAGATGCCTACCATGGGGCAAGAGACCACTACTCAATCTTGTAGAAGGTCAAAAAGATTAAGAGGTGACCAGACAAGTACTTCAATTAATGTCAGCACAAAAAGGAGAAAGTGTACACCTGAATGCACTCTCCCCAATATTGCATCCTCAGAGAGGGGGTCTCGTAAGAAGCTCTTACAGGAAGGCATAGATAAAAGACATCTGGATGGTAACAGCACTAATGATGCTTTTGCTGATGGAAGTGCAAAAACAATTCTACATAAGTCCATAAAAGATTCTAATAGGAAAACTAATGTAGAGATAACAAGATCTGTTGATGAAGCACAAGGAACAGAATCTTCAACAGGAGAGCAGTGTAAAGCGTCAGCTTCAGCATGCACCACTCCCACCAATTCAAAAATCCAGAAGAATGCTGTGTCACCTATTTGTATGGGTGATGAGTATCATAAACAATCGTGCAGGAAGAATATGTCAAGATCATCTCTTTTGAGAGAAATCACTTCCTTACATTCTACTGGAACACAAATTGGCTCCACCTTAAAAGATTCTAGGAAGAGGCGAGAAATGACTAATGTTCGAGTCTTGTTCAGTCAGCACCTGGATGCAGATAGTACTAAACAGCAAAAGAAGGTAATTTCGCTATGATATTTTCTTTGTTTGTGCAAATATTGTATGTTTTAAACTGGAATCACCTTATCATCTCTTCTTGCAGATCTTAGCCCGGTTAGGAGCCTCAAGCGTATCATGTATGTCCGATGCCACTCATTTTGTGGCTGATGAATTTGTTCGCACTAGAAACATGCTAGAAGCTATTGCTGTAGGGAAACCTGTGGTGACACATCTATGGCTTGAGAGTTGTGGACAAGCTAGCTGTCTTATTGATGAGAAAAACTATATCTTGAGAGATGCAAGAAAGGAAAAAGAGTTCTGCTTCAGCATGCCAGTTTCATTAGCACGAGCATGCCAACATCCCCTTTTACTGGTAAACATGCTGCCTTGGGTGACTATTAGATGCAGCAGCTGTGCTTTTCCTTTTCTCATAGTAATTTATTTTCAGGGATATAGAGTTTTTACCACTCCAAATACAAAGCCTGGTAAAGATATATTGGCAAGTTTGGTGAAGGCAGTTCATGGTTTGGTGTGTACTCTACTCTTTACCCCTTTTTTATTTCACTTTAAAATTCAACCATCCTGGATAAGATATTCATATGCTCTATCCACTCACCTGAATCATCTTCGATGCCACAATTTGGTACCATACTAAGTTCCGGTTTGAAAAAAAGGTGTTGTCTCAAGTCCAAAGCAAGCAGATTCAAAAGGTTCAGTCCATCTTCTCATATATTGGTGCTTCTGTGAATACCTGAGACAAAACCAGTCTTTCATTTGTATGGTCAGGAGGATATGGTAGAGTGTATGCTTCCTATCCGCTATAAATGCAACATGATTAGTTATGAAAGATTAGAACCAGCCTTATTAAATATGTTGAATATCATATATTTGAGTGTGTGCTCAAGATGATGTCCATGGTAACATAGGTGATAAGTGATGACATAGTAAAGATCATTAGTTTGACTTTTTTAATATTAAGATCTTCACTAGTTTTGACTTTTGACTTTGATATGTAAATAGGATGGCCAGCATTTCCTTAATGCTGATGAATACACTGTTACCATTTTCAGAAGAGAAAAACGATCATTAGTTTGACTTACGGTAGCTGAAGCAAACATTTGTAACCAATTTTTTGGAAGATTTCTTTGATAGGGAAAACAAGTGGTATGGATTATAATCCACACTACAAATGGGCGGATTTGAATTCTTGAAACTTATACTCTGTGGTTATGTGTAAAAGTACGTCAAATATTTTGGAATTCCTATAATTTGAAGTTAGTGTCTACTAGTGTTTCTAGTGTTAATCATTATCACACCCTCCATGCGAGAGTTCCATAATCAATCTGTATTTGTTCAGGCACAATCCTCTCTCCGTAATTATAACTATTTTATTGACTGTTTGTTCGTGCTTGGTAACGCCTGTTCCAAATGTTTTTCAGGCAGTGGAGCGACTTGGTAGATCGGTTATGAAAGAGGATGTTCCCGACGATCTTCTAGTTTTATCTTGTGAAGAAGACTATGAAGTTTGCATCCCTTTCCTTGAGAAAGGTAGACTTCTTATTCTTTTACCTTGTAAAATCAATAAGAAGTTTTGTATTAAATTTGAATAATCATGCAAATGCAATCCCTTGTTACATCTACAGGATCAACAGTGTATAGTTCGGAGCTCCTATTGAATGGGATAGTTACTCAGAGACTGGAGTTTGACAGGTGGTTTCTTAATTTCAACTGCTTCGATTATTTATGATAATGATGAGAATTTGGGTGCANGAGCTCCTATTGAATGGGATAGTTACTCAGAGACTGGAGTTTGACAGGTGGTATCTTAATTTCAACTGCGTCGATTATTTATGATAATGATGATAAGTCCTTATGTTTGGGTTTGTGAATGTGTGGATGGTTCAGCCAAAATATTGCAATATGTGATCCCATTTGCCTCCGAATTTTAGTTGCTGATATGAAGATGAATATCCTTGTCTAACCAGCCATATTTGTCCTGCAGGTACCGCCTCTTCACAGATTATGTTAAGAGAACTCGTTCAACAGTATGGGTGAAGAAAAATAACAATCAATACCTCGCTGTTGCAAAATGCAAATAAGGCTTGAGGCTTAGTTGTCTTTTAAAAGAGTGGCGTATGCATTCCTTTAAGAGGCATTTGTATCATAAGTGTAGGGTGTCTGTAAATTTAATTTGTTTTTAATGTATAGCGTTTCAGTCTTCTTTCATGCAATTTTGTGCTATATAATTTGTCCTCCACGGTCTTTTTCCAGACAGCTTGTCCTGTTGTATCTTGAACTGGCTCCAGATTCCGACTAAGAATGGACATCCAAAAAAGATAATTCAAGTTAGGTGCCAGCAATTTTTCATCTACTGTGGTTCAAATGTCACATGGTCTTTTTTCATCTACATGGAGCTACTATTCTCTAGTACTAGACACAGAAAGAAGACAAGCGATAACTACCTTACCTATATCGGTATACGCATTTGACTACCAGATTTCTTGAGGTATCAACCACCTCATCACATAAGATGATGAGGAAAAGAAATAAGAGAAAATAATACAAAGAAAATACATCTTCAACGTGAAAAAGAAGCATGTACAATATCCACTGGGTTTGTTGTTGTTACAATATCTCCTATACAGCTTCATCATTTCTCCATTTTGGACTCGCCAGGAATAGTATCGAATGTACATACACTGAGACTCATAGAAGCACCAAAACTCAATACTGATTGATGCTATCATTACTGAATAGACTGCCTGCAACAAGATTACTCCTCATTTCATATCTGCCAAAAGACAAGATTACTCCTCATTTCATATCTGCCAAAAGTGTGGTGTGTGCGCGCACAATTTTCTTTTCTGCATTGGGTTTGGTTGCATGAGTTGTGAATCTAGAAATTTTGTTATGGTTAAAGAAGGCACAGGATCCTCGATGGACAGACTAGAAAATATCCAAGAGTTATCAAATACCAACTGCGTAATCTTCCCAGAGTAGAAAACATGGCCACAAGAGCAAACTCTAGAGCGGCAGGCATATGTCCATATATATATATATATATATGTACTCTCTAATAGCTGCATTTTGAATGAAAAATTTATAACGCAAGCTAAGTCGGCTAGTATTTGATAAATAAAATTTAGGCGCTCAGACGTACCTAGGATGACAGCAAAAATAGATGCCAAAAGACCTGTGTAACCGCAAATGGTGCAGCAATCACAAGCGCCTGAGTTGAACCTTAAAGAAACAGATTTAAAATATGAATTCCACAAAGCACAAATAATAAAATATAAAGATAACATTCATTCCATGTAGTTGGTGTCATCAGATCAAACTCCAGCTTTCTACTTAAGAGTTGGAAGAAGATATAAAAGTTGATGGACGACATTCCACTCCACGTAGTTGGCGTCATCAAATTCCACCTTTCTACCTAAGAGTTGGCACAAGATATATAAGCTGATGGATGTGCATATATTCTATTCTAATGCTGACAATCAAAATGCAGTTGACACACACACTAATGTTTTTAATTGAGAAAGGAAAGGTAATCAATTCTACAAATTATTGTTTGATAAAACTTTATGACCCTTTTTTTGCTTCCTAAGTAAGGTGGAGTTTTTAGGCAACTAATAAAAGGACCAAGATAATGGTCTAATTTCTGAGGCAATAGGGGTGGATTTACATATAAAAAATTGGATGCTTGAGCACCCATTAAACTCCGCTCGAAGTACGTATAATTACATTAGAAAATTTAAGGGAACAAATATAATTAAACAACAAGCACCCAAATAACAAAAGCTAGTGGGTGCTTTGGTTTAGAATGGGTATTGGAGGGTTATGAAAGTTGAAGGTTGAGAGATCGAAACTGACTAGCAGGATTAAGATTGTTTTACTTCCTTTTTCTTTTCTTATATAATCAAGTACTATTTTTCTTTTCCTCCAATTATTAGGTCATCTTTTTTGCTTTTCACCATCGATTTTTTGATCCAATACTGTTTTTCTTTTAAATTTCTTTTGATTTTGATTTTTTTTGCTTTTCCTTCTACTTCATCTAATTCACTATAGCAAGGAAATAAAATGAAAGTTTGCTTTAAAAAAATAAAGAGTTCCTCCGATAAAATCCACTATTTTTCTTTCTCGTCAATTGCGTTATCCATCACAGTTTTATGGCATTTGTAATATTAATACTATGAGTTTCTCATTAATTTTTTATCGTGTTTAAATAGTTGCGCACTTATACGATTTGATTGACGGTAACTTTACATTAAATGAAGTTAAGCACCCACGAACTCAAATTCCTGAATACGCCACTGTGAGACAACAACACAATTATGCAGAGACTATATATTGGAGAAAAATTATATCTTTTGAATGCATCACCAGGGATGAATAGGAAACACTGAGATAGAGGAACTGCCGGACATCTTAAGCTTTTCCAACATTATGGAACCAAGTTGGGGGAAATGAAATAAATGCCATATAGTTGCACTTTGCTTTACTCATCTAGAATATATTAATCTCTCTGTTTCAATTTAGATGACACACTTTCCTTATTAGCCCATTCCAAAAAGAATGACACATTTCTATAATTGGAAATAATTCAGTTTTTAAACTTTTTGTTTTACCCATTTTACCTTTAATGAGAAGTTTTTATAACCATACAAATGTCATAGTCTCACAAAGATTTTACCCCTTAAGCTTTTAAGACCACAAGTTTTAAAAGTGCCCCTCTTTCTCTTAAACTCCGTGTCGAGTCAAACTTCCTCATCTAAATTAAACTCGGTGCTTTCTATGTGGGGAACCGGCGACCACCCCGGCAGGTAAGACCCCCCATCTCTCTCGCCTCTCACCCCCTCTCTCTCCCCCCTTCTCCTCTCCTCCCCACCCCAACCCTAATTGTAGCGGACATCTCCGGCGACTGCTGACTCATCGTTGTCCCTAGTTCTGGCGACCCTTCCTTCTTATCCCCTTTCGGCCCCTCTCTTTCTTTATCTTTTATCCCTTCTTCTTTCCCTTTTCCCTCCCCCTTTTGTTTACTTTGATTTAGTTAATAGATTAGTTCTATTAGTTCACCATTATTAATTAAAAATTTTGTTAAAAATTATTGCAATATTGTAGTTCATCATTATTTAGTTAACAAATTAGTGCGTATCATACCGAATTTTCATTTGAGTAACATCTAGTCCTACTAGTTCACCATTACTATAGGGGTTCCCTTCTTCCCTTTTTGCCACAGTTGGGCTTCACCAGTGGTAGCGGTGATAGCCCCTCCCCTCATTTTATTTTTGCTCTGCGCTGTTTTGTGTGTCTTATAGGTAAATTTGGTGGTATTAGAGACGAGCGGGAAGCGCACGCACAAGAATAAGAGAGCGTATATGGCGAGCGTCAGAAAGGGACAATAGGAAGTTGGACGGGAACGTGCCAGGTGCCGCAACATCATCAAATACACAAAGACAATTTCAGGTTCTATTCTCGGGAGTTGGTACCTCCCCCTCCTCTACCCTCTAATTGGGGTTACCTAAACTGTATTCATTTTTAGTTTGCATTAGTTTAATCATACTACTAGCGTGCTTGTAGTGTGATTCTTCCTTAGCCTGTTGTAGGTATAGTGGCTGCAGTTTGGGATAAGGTCATGTCCTCAGGAGGGGTAAGAGGTGGGGCGGGGGACAGGGGGTGCGACAGAAGGCAAGGGAGGTAAGGAGAACAAGAGAGCCTATAGGTTGAGAATTGGGTCATGGAACATAGGAACATTGACGGGTAAGTCTATAGAGTTGGATAGGATTCTCCAGAAGAGGAAGGTTAATATAGCGTGTGTCTAGGAGACTAGGTGGATAGGATCGAGGGCGAGGGATGTGGATTGGTATAAGTTGTGGTACTCTAGAGTCCTGTGGGGTAAGAATGGAGTGGGAATTTTGGTAGATAGGGATCTTAGAGAGTATGTGGTAGAGGTTAGACGGGTGAATAATAGACTAATGACTATTAAGCTGGTGGTTGGTGAGTGTACCCTAAATGTCATAAATGCTTATGCGCCGTAAGAAGGCTTGGATGAGGAGGTTAAAAGGCATTTCAGGAGGGGTTGGATGAGATTATGTGTAATATTCTGCCTGCCGAGAGGTTATTATAACGATCCGACCGGTCGTGTTGAGCTTTTGTACTTTGCTCACCAGTTTTGATTTTCAAGGTAATCTGAATAAATTTGGAAGAACAGTTCTTAGTTTGAAGCTTGAAATTTGAAAGGTTTGACCAAGATTTGACTTGTTAGTATATAATATCGGATTGGAATTTTTATGATTTGGATAGCTCCGTTAGGTGATTTGGGACTTAGAAGCCTGATTGGAATGCATTTTGGAAGTCCGTGGAAGGTTTAGGCTTGAAGTGGCGAAATTGAGATTTTGACATTTTCTGGTTGATAGGTGAGATTTTGATATAGGGGTCGGAATGGAATTTCGGAAGTTGCAGTAGCTCCGTTGTGTCATTTGTGACGTGTGTGCAAAATTTCAGGTCATTCGGACATGGTTTGGTTGGGTTTTTGATCAAAAGCATAATTTGGAAGTTCTTGGAATTCTTAGGCTTGAATCCGATGTGATTTTGGTGTTTTGATGTTGCTTTGAGCGCTCTGAAGGTTAGAACAAGTTTGAATGAGGTTATGGGATATGTTGGAATGTTTGATTGAGGTCCCGAGGGCCTCAGGTGAGTTTCGGGTGGTCAATCGGACCATTGCATCCAAAAATATTTGTGCTTCGCAAACACGAGGCTTTGACCGCGTTCGTGAAGAAGGATTTCAGGCATGGGCAGAATGTTTAAATAGTCATCTTGTCCACGATTTTGGGGTTTATTTATACCATTTTTGGAGCTTTTTAAAGATGATTGAAGAGGGATTCAAGGGGAATCACTTGGAGGTAAGATTTATGGACTTTATACTCGTTTCTTATGTGAATTCTACCTAATTAATCATGTAATTTAAGCCTAGTATTGAAGTACTAGAGCTTGTAATTGGAGACCTAGAATTTGGGATTTGAGAGGCCATTTGAGGTCCGATTTTGATGTTCTTGGTATGTATAGACTCATGAGAGGATGAAGATTCTATTGATGTGACTTTTATCGAATTTCGAGATGTGGGCCCGGGGGACAGGTTTGAGAAATTTCGGGATTTTTGATGTAAATTGGATATTTGCGAGTGGTCCTTATTCCCTTAGCATATTTTAATAGTTATGTACTGATTGTGGCTATATTTGGAGCATCCGGAGGTCGATTCATGAGGGCAAAGGCATCGTAGGCTAGAGTTTGGACCGGATCGAGGTAAGTAATGATTGTAAATGCTGTCTTGAGGGTTTGAAACCCCAGATTCATATTGTTGTGCTACTTTGA